ACGAAAAACAAAAAAAAAGATAGCATAATTAAAGACCGAGAGAATGAAAAATAAACTGAAAGCAGAATTAGACTAAACTAGATGGGAAGATAATATTCCGCAGGAATATGACGATATTCATTTAACAAAATCTCCAAAAAAAAGGGTACAGAATCAGAAAACAAAAGAAAAGCAATAAAGAGGAAGCTTAAGCATTTAATAACTCCGCCACCTCCGATCAAGGACCCAGTTACGAGAATTAGGTTCTGATGGAGAGCTACAACACAAACAAGCGACCAAATACCAAACTAAAATGAAAAAACTAGAATTGTCCTTTGATTCAACTGCGGATAGACTTTTGGTGCTGATAGTAGTAGTTCACTTGGCACCCTTCTTGACGGCAGCCTTGGTCACCTTGGCTCCGGTTGGGTCCTTCTTGTCCACGCTCTTGATGACACCCACTGCAACAGTCTGCCTCATGTCCCTCACAGCGAAACGACCAAGTGGTGGGTACTCCATGAATGTCTCCACAACCATAGGCTTGGTCGGAGTCATCTTCACCATACCAGCATCACCATTCTTCAAGAATTTGGGCTCTTTCTCAATCTCCTTACCAGAACGCCTGTCAATCTTGGTCAAGATCTCAGTGAACTTGACTGCAATATGGGAGGTGTGGCAATCGAGAACCGGGGCGTAACCGTTTCCAATCTGACCAGGATGGTTCATGATGATGACCTGGGAGGTGAAGTTGGCTGCTCCCTTGGCAGGGTCATCCTTTGAGTTGGATGCAACATACCCACGCTTGAGATCCTTCACAGCAACATTCTTCACATTGAAACCGACATTGTCACCTGGAAGTGCCTCCACAAGGGACTCGTGGTGCATCTCAACAGACTTGACCTCAGTGGTCAACCCTGAAGGAGCAAAGGTCACAACCATACCGGGCTTGAGCATACCGGTCTCAACACGACCCACTGGCACCGTTCCAATACCACCTATCTTGTAGACATCCTGAAGTGGAAGACGGAGGGGCTTATCTGATGGCCTCTTGGGCTCGTTGATGGCATCAAGAGCCTCAAGGAGGGTTGGTCCTTTGTACCAGTCAAGGTTGGTGGACCTCTCAATCATGTTGTCACCCTCAAACCCAGAGATGGGGACAAACGGGATTTTGTCAGGGTTGTATCCAACCTTCTTCAGGTAGGAAGACACCTCCTTAACAATTTCCTCGTACCTTCCCTTGGAGTATTTGGGGGTAGTGGCGTCCATCTGTTACAAGGAACAAACAGATAAAAACAATTCTTAGCACAAAAACAAAATAAACAGAAACACAATTACTGACAATAACTGGGAAGGTAGTTCACCTTGTTACAGCAACAGATCATCTGCTTGACACCAAGGGTGAAAGCAAGAAGAGCGTGCTCCCTGGTCTGTCCATCCTTAGAGATACCAGCCTCAAAACCACCAGTGGTGGAGTCAATGATGAGGACAGCACAATCAGCCTGGGAGGTACCAGTGATCATGTTCTTGATGAAATCACGATGACCAGGAGCATCAATGACTGTGCAGTAGTACTTGGTGGTCTCGAACTTCCAGAGAGCAATGTCAATGGTGATACCACGTTCACGCTCAGCCTTAAGTTTGTCCAACACCCATGCGTACTTGAACGACCTCTTGTTCATCTCAGCAGCCTCCTTCTCGAACCTCTCAATCACACGCTTGTCAATACCWCCRAGCTTGTAGATCAAGTGWCCAGTGGTKGTYGATTTWCCAGARTCGACRTGGCCAATGACCACWATGTTGATGTGAAACTTCTCTTTACCCATAGCTGCTTGTCAAGTGAATCTGCAGATGATAAAACTTATTGAAACGATCGAAACAGTAGAGACATAATACTATATGAATAATCAATTAACTACAACCATTCAATGTAACATAATAGCTGCTATCGGATTCGAACCGATTTCTACCACAAAAGYTTGTGGTGCTCTATCCTCTGAGCTAAGCGAGCTAATTCAATCAAACAAAGCAATTACAAGAGATCTATAGCAAACAACCCGAGACTTTCCCCGACTTGAAAAACAAGAAGGAAGGAAACACCGGAATTGTTATGCTGCTCCCGAATCACCAATCCACGATACAAACMGACTAAAAAAATCAAATACGTCTTAATAACACAACCGATTCACTCAGATAGATCCCAACCATGATGATCGTTCAATAACAAATCTCAAAACAAGTTCSATTCGATGATCGAGACAATAGTTCACAATCAGATATCACTATAAAACGTTGATTTCCACAGTCGAAGAACTCTAAACAACGGATCATAGATTCACAACGATCAATCAACAAAGAGAAWCAATCGAAAGAGATACATGTAATGAAGAATCGAATCCAAAAGAACTGAACAACAAGCAAACGAGAACGGATCGAAATTGAAAAGCAAAGGAAACMGATCATAGATGCGTATGAAGACGCTTACCTAAGAGATATCGCAAAGAGGAGAGTGTAGCGGCTAGGGTGAATAAAGTGCGAGCTAGAGAATAWTAACGCAGGATTGGATACGAGCTTTATTTATAGGATGGTAATGCGGAAAAGAATAAGGTTTAGCATTAATAATATGTACGCGAAATTACAATTATGCCCCTCTGCCCCACCGTCTTAATCCTTTCTTTTGTTTTGGGTCCGTCGTGTTTCATCTTTTCGCTCCACTAATTTCTCCATATAAAACATTCAAATTAGCCCCCTAAATATTTAATTATCATCCAAATTAGCCCCCAAAATATTAATTATCATTGGCACACCTTTAAATCGAGGATTACCAATGTACGAATTAGAGCTTTTACGTTTTTCTATGTAAACTATATTCTATCTAATTGGATTACCAATTACGGTAACATTTTCTAATTAATAGTTTGGTTAACAAAAAAAATTGAGGATATTCAAGCATTGTTTAGCTAGTAATCATCTGTAGGATATACATATGTATAATATAAATGTTCTTTCTAAAGTCCTGAATGTTGTTGACATAAAAACTTTATTGATTGGCTAAACTCGAAACTGTGAAGACTGAAGAGGCACTTGCACCATAAATTCCACACATACAGATAAAGAATTAAYATATATTAACCTCAAAATCTCATGACAATGGAAACAATATATTTATAAAATACTATAACTGTCCCATTCCACGAGCAACCTGAAGAGAGAGCTCAAGTTATAGTATTCAGAAAAACTCCAGAGGACCAGAGATTGAGACCGGAGGATCTATCATCAYGCGGCTCGCCTTTCCGTCTGAGTAAAGCTGAGGTAATGTGTTGGCCTCTT